TTTTATCAATAAAAGAAGTAGAAATAAAACAAAAAATTAGGAGCACACATGAGACCCATAAAAGAAATTTATGTACATGAGACCCATAAACCCATTCACCAAGTTAAATGTTTAATGGTTTAATTTGCTACATCAATAACTTATTGGCTAAGTTAGTGTATTTATGTAGACAAGTATCTTAATGGTAAATGGACCTAGAATTTTTGTTAAGGTGAAAAATTAACCGGTCTAACCAATTGGTTTGGTCATGGAATAAAAACACTGATTAAAAACCAATGCTGTAAAAATCAATTAGAAGTGTACTTTAATTACCACATAAGAATCATAAATTAAAAAATAACAATAAAAATGTAATACTTTTTGTAAAATTTATAAAAAATGAGCATGTTTTTAGTCTTAAATGTTCATCATGTTAAACAAAAATATGTGTAAAAAAACAAGATATATTGTTATTAAAGATGAAAATAGCTAAAAATACAAAAAAAAGGGATTAATGTCTTACCCATGTCCTATTTACCTAGTAAGATAGGTTAACCGTCCAACCAATATGGCCATTTGTTTGTTAACCAAGGTTGTGGTTTTTTTTAAATGGTTGAATTAAAACAAATTATTTCTTAAATTTGTATGGATTTGAGCATAGGATAAAACACACTAATTAGTCAGTCAATGTTGTTATAATTAAATAAAAGTATAAAAAATAGATATGCTACAAAAAAAATTAAAGAAATAGATTTTTTGTAAAAAATATAACACTCTAATATTACATATTCATCATATTAAACAAAAAACAAGTATATAATGAATACGAAGTATATTTATTAAGAATGGGTAGGGATCTTCAAAAGTTTACATCATCCACAACAATTAAGTGATACAATTTTCTACAGCCACATATTCAACTTCAACCATGGTTAGGGCTATTGAGGTTTGCTTTGCTTCTTGCACATCAAGGAAACCAAGCAAGGCCTTGGAAATTGACAAGCATCACTCATGCTTTTTCTACCTATCCTACTTCCTATATCAGCATCCGAATTAGCTAATCATACAAAAATAGTCATTCCTTCCATAAATTTGGAATTTCATTGTGATATCTCAGTATAATTTTGAAAGCTTTTAAATGGCTCTTTTCTGGATTACTATGGAATATAGCACATAGGCAAACCGAGAACAAGATGTTAGGTCTACTAGCTGTGAGATATAGTAGACTATTTATCATTTTTCTATACACTTTTTATTTACTAGTTTCTCCTCTTGATTAAGATAAAATTTGGTTTAGATACTCATCAAAGTGCACACAGGTTTGGCTTAATACATTCCAAACTTTTTTCAATGTTTCTTTTTGTAAATTTGGACTGACATATAAATGTGTCTTATTCTTGTTGCCTTATTTGCAATCTTAAACAGAACTTAATTCAGATTTCATGTTAGTTTGTATACATGATTAGGAAATTCTTGTTTTTCAAAACCAAGGGTCGTTTGACATAAACTTCTTCGCTTATATAGCCATTTAAGAAAGCACTTTGTACATCCATTTGATAGAGTTTAAATTCTTTATGTCTAGCATAGGCGAATGGCATTCTTATTGATTTTAATCTTGCTATTGGAACATAGGTTTCATCATAGTTAATTCCTTCTTCTTGACCATATCCCTTGGCAACCAATTGGGCTTTATTTTTAGTAACCGCTCCCAAGTCATTTATTAATTTGTTTTTGTAAACCCATCTAATTTCTGGTGACGAAGGGGTCTCTCTACTAGTTTCCATACTTGATTATTTTCAATTTGTTTTAGTTCCTCATTCGTTGCATCCATCCTATGACTATCCTTTAGTGCTTCTTCCACAATTTTGAACTCTATTTGAGATAGAAGGGCTATATTATTCTCTTATGTTCAAGATCAGCTTCTAGTCCTGACCCTTACACTTAGGCTTCCTATTATTTGAGATTTTGGGTGATCTTTATTATATTCAAAACCTACTTCCCTAGGCTTCTGATAGTCCTAGTTTTCATCTCCAAGCAATCTTCCTCTTGTTCATTCTCCTCTACTTGTGATTTAGGTATGGTGACTTTAATTTCCCCATCCTCTCCTTTTCAAGTTCTTAGGAACTCAATTTCGTTAAATGTTACATGAATTGATCCCTCAACAATTGATGTTCTTTTGTTGTATACTCTATATGCTTTGCTAGTTTATGAGTAATAAATAAAGATTCCTATATCAAATTTGGCATCAAAATTTCCCAAACCATCATTGGTGTTCAAAATGTAACATTTGCCTCCAAGACTTTAAAGTAACTGATTCTCGATTTCCTTCCATTATAGAGTTCATAAGGTGTCTTTACTAAGAGATGGTCTAACAAGTACCTTGTTCATGATCTAACAAGCTACATTTAGAGGCTTTGCCCAAAAGTGTTTGGGTATTTTATGTTCATTCAACATGGTTCTTGTCATCTCTTGAGGTGTTTTATTTTTTCTTCCAACAACTCCATTTTACTCGGGTGTCTTAGGTGTAGAAAAGTTATGTGTGATTTCTCTATAATTTTATTAATTTATTCTGCATTCTTTATCATTTTAAACTATTTTTTATGACAGACTTAAGACATTTTGTTGCTTTATTTTTGTGTGCTAAGAAGAAGGTCCAAGTGTATCTAGAATTGTCATCTACAATAACTAGAAAATAGGATCTTCCTCCTAGACTAGTTGTTCTCATAGGCCCAAATAGATCTAGGAACCATTTGCTCATGTTAGGAACTTTAAGCTCTTATGCTCTTTAGCCAACAAACATTTGATGGAGACTTTCTCCTTTTGGGTTATGTTGCACTCATTTTCATCTATTGATTTTTTATAAGCATTCTCATATAGTGCTTGTAATGACGACCATATCTCATATGCTGAAGTATACGATTGAACTCTTTTTACTTCTTGAGTATCGAGACCTCTCTATAATTTCCTAAAGATCATAGTCTAGGGGGATGAGGTAGATCCTCATCTATCCTTCCCGCATGTAAAACCAACACCATCAAAGATAGGAGGAAGGAAGATTCAGTATCCCTCAGCAAATGAAGCACTTACTTGGGTAGCAATTGCTCAATAAGTTATTAAGCTTTCGGATTGGTGAACATGCTTTGATACAATTTATTGGGATTGATAGCTTCACCCAAAGGGGGTGAATTGGGTATAGCTTAAAATATGGTTAGTTCAAGCTTAGAACCTTTCCAAGATCTGAAACTTAGCCTTTTTTAAGATTCAAGATAAAATGTAATGAATTGAAGGATTAATCAGAATGTTTAACATTTAATCAAATGACTGATCAATACAATCAACTCACAACTGAAGGACAAACTGCAACTTCAAACAAGAAAATAATATAATTACAATAGTTACATGGGCTAGCACTTAAATAACATTGAACAATAAATACAAGTAACTACTATAAGGTAAATGTTAACTGAAAGTAAATAAAACATTTAACTATAGAGGTTAATGAACAAGTTAGCGGAAATAACAGTTAAGCACAAGTTCAACAACAAACTTAAATAACTATTAAATTGTAAATGAAATTGGAAATAAATGAACTGAAATGTAAATGGTAATTGCAGAAAATATGTGAAAAGCTTAGAATGGCCCGGACCTTCATCTAATGGAGGGGCAGATGCGTAAATTTTGAGATCAAATTTAAATGAGTAGGGTTTTTAATGATTTGGTAGGGTTTGATTGGTGTAAATGTATTCAGATTAAGGGAATTGGATGTACAAGCATTCTGACTCACGAGAAAATCCAAAATGGAATCCTCATTTATTGGATGGACAAATGAGTGAATTTTGAAATGAAATTTAACTGGGTAGGGTTTCTAATCGTCCTAGACGAATTGGCATGGTTTGATTAGTTTAAATGTGTTCAGATTAAGGGAATTTGAGGTACGAGTATTTTGGTCCACGGGGGAACTTGGAATGGAATCTTTGTCTAGTAGATGGACAAATGTATGAATTAAGGGTGTTCACAAGGAGAACTAAACTGACCAAACCGGCCCGACCCATCCTGATTTGGTCAAATTTTCAAAGGTGTCAGTTGGTTTGAATTCCTAAACTGAAATAAAATGAGAGGTTAGTTCGGTTATGGTTTTCACACTTAAAATTCGAAACTGACCCTACCCGACCTAAACACATACTTTTATAAGACTATACTTGTAACATCTATTAATAAATTAGTAATTATCTTTATTTTAATCGATTGTTTTTATCTTGACCTTGTGGTCATTCAAAACCTTTAATTTTATCTTTTTTGCTTCGTTTCTTGGGGTTGGAAAGTTTACACCAAATAGGAAAATAGGAAATGACGAAGTCTAGGTTAGGGATTAGCCTATTGGAAGATTTTGATTTATTGCCTTTTTGGGATCAACAAGAGAATTCAAGGGAAAACCCCCCTAAGTGGCTAAGCCTAAAACTGCCTAACTCACATAAGTCACAACTTGTCAACATTCATCTAGTTAATTGCTTGGACATTGGAGAGCGACAAGGCACAAACCGCGTGGAAGAAGAAAGAGGAGGAGAGAAAGGGGAAGTGGAAGAAGAGAGATTGGGGGAGAAAGAGAGAGAAGAGAGAGAGGGAGGGCGAGAAATGTGAAGGAATCTAAGATAGAGAGGATTACCGCCGCTGCTGTTCGTGTATCGTGAGGTCAGGAAAGACAAATATTGTTTTTCTCGTCAGTTATTACAAGGATAGTATGGAGATTAAAAAATATTGCAACGGCCTTTTTAGATGAAAGACTAACAAAAGGGGGACTTTGTCTCACAGTCATAGTACAAGGGGGTTTTTGTCGCAAAACAAAGTACACTGAGATCTTTGTCGGTAACCCCATAGTACAGGGGGGAAGATTGAGGGAGGATTTTGTCAATTTTCAGAAAATTTAGTAATAATCAAAGGGATTTCATAAATAGTAGGGGCAGGGTAAGTGAATTTATTAAAACTTAGGGATAGTTTAATAGATTTCCCCTACTTACGTGACATCGTGTTCATTTTTCTCTTCCTCGGTTCTGCCTTCTGCGCCCGGGAAACGAAAAAAAAAAAGGCCACATCGTGTTCATGTTTTGACTAGGATATTGGAGATGGCCTCAAAATCTAGAAAGTGAAGAAACCCACGATTGGAGTTGGAGCTGAAGGAGCAAATACGGAAACAGCTAAACGAGGGAAAAGAGTCCGTTAACGATCTTCAACATGTTTTAGTTGGCTTTATCAGTTCAACCATGGAGGGTTCAGGCTTGGTAGCCCCTAAACGCTCCTTTGATCCTTCCGCTACCGATCGCCCCGAACCCAATGCCGGCACTATCCCCTCTTCCACTAAACGTCGCCACCATCATTCCTCCTCCGCCACTCCATCAATGATGTTCAAACTTCCCCCTCCTCCTCTCAAGCTGTCCGCCGGAGAAACCCTTTTCCGAATCCTCTGCCCGGCGGTAAAGACTGGCGGCGTAATCGGCAAGGGCGGCGCAATCATTCGTCAATTCCGTGAAGAAACTGGCGCTAAGATTCGTATCGATGAGTCTGTCCCGGGTTGCGATGAGCGCGTAATTCTTATCGTTGCAGAAACCCCAAAGAAGAGAAAAGAGAACGCAAATGGAGATGGGAACGATAATGCTGGAGACAAAGAAGAGGAAGATTTGGGAAATTCGAGTTCGAATGCGAATTCTGGCGAGGAAGAGGCTTCGCCGGCCCAACTGGCGTTGGTGAGGGTTTTTGAGAGGATGCTGAAGGTTGATGAAGAGAGGTTCGGAGGTTCAGCGGAGAACGACGATGGAGAGGAGAAGGATAAAGAGAAGACAGTGAATGCGGGTGGTATTGGGGCGACACAGACTCCTGTCGTCTGTAGGTTGTTGGCACCTAGTAATCAAGTGGGTTGTGTGCTTGGGAGAGGAGGCAAGATTGTGGAGAAGATAAGGCAGGACAGTGGTGCGCAGGTCAGAATTCTTCCAAAGGATCATATTCCAGCATGTGCTTCTCCTGGGGATGAGTTGATTCAGGTAAATGTCTCAGAATACTTTCGTCCTTGTTTAAACATATTTTTTAGTGATGTCTATGGGTTAACGTTATGCTTATTTTTTTTTTCTATTGCCCTCAATGTTATTATCTTCATGGGAGAGGCGGGCATTCATCTATCTCTCCCTTTTAGATGCACACAATCAATCAAATAATGCAGCATAACAAAGTGATCGAAAAGAATTTATGATTCTACAAAACAATATCATCAACATATAATACAAATAAGGGTGTTAGAATCAATTAAGCAAGTTAAAGAACTTTATATCTATGAAATTATGTTCATCATAAATAAAATATAGAATGAAATTAAATATGTTATATGTAATATGCCCTATCACCTATTTGATGAACTAAGATAGGTATGGATATTATTTATCAAGAAAAAAAAAAGAAAAAAGATAGGTGTGGATATTGGTTGCTGAGATGCCAGGAGGGAATTAGTTGTATAGTCCACTACTAATCAATAAATTTGGGCTTATAAGAAATACTGCTTTCTTTCTTTTTCTCTCTCAATCTAATTCAACCCTAACCTCAGCTATTTCGTGCCATTTAAACACGTACTGCTCTGCCATTGTGCTCTATCAAGAGCCATTTTTCTGCTAAATTGCAAGTCCTTGGATCATTTCTTTGGCCATTTCCTTCATTTACTTTTTACTGGTACTCCTTCTCAATGTTGTGGTCATTGGTTGTCTATGTGCATTACTGAACTATCTCAGTTGACTTTCTCTTGTCTTATTGCAAATTGGGGATAATGAGAGATTTCCTATGGGAGCCTGGGGTGACTAAGAAAGACCACTTGGTTAAATGGGATGTAGCGTGTAGAAGGAAAGAGCAAGTAGGTTTGGTAATAGGGAACCTGAGTAAGAAGAATATGGTGCTACTTGGGAAATGGTTACGGAGATTTCCAATAGAATAGGAGAAGCTATGTCACAAAGTAGTGGAGACTGGAGTGTATCCATGGGCTTAAGGACAATGGGTGGGTGCTGACCTTTTTGCATAAAACCACTCTTGCTTTGGAGGTTTGACCTTGGAAAGCATTCCTTAACATCCTTCTTGTGTTTCTGAGCCATATCAGGTTTGACCTCTCCTCTAGCAATACAATAAAATTGTGAGAGGATTTGTGGGTAGGTGATTTTCCTTTGAATGTTCTATTCCCTTCCTTGTTTACTTTATCCACCTTAGAGGGTAAACCTATTTTGGACTCTTGGTTTGTTGGTCCTTCTCCTTCGGCCTCTGGGTTTGTCTGGAATTTGGGGTTTATGAGGAACCTTAGGGAGTTGGAAGTCTCTCAGGTCTCTGACCTATTGAAGGCTTTGGAGGGGGTGATGCTAGTGTGTGGGATCCTAACCCTAGGGGATCCTTCTCTTGTGCTTCTTTTTTCAAAATTATAGTGGCCTCCAATCTCCCTCTTTTATTTTTTCTTGTGAAAAATGTTTGGTGCATCCCTATCCCTCCTTAAATTTACGGCTTTTTTCTTGGGGAGTCTTTCTTGGAGGCATTAATACTTTTGACTTGTTACAAAGAAGAAGATCCAACTGGTGCATTTCCCCTAATTGGTATATCATGCACAAATTGAATGGTGAAACTGCTTTTGGCTTACTGATATCCCACCCTTTTGCCTGTTTTGTTTGGGAGTGGTTTCTTGCTTGCTTTGCCCCTATTATCTTGGACATGTTTTTTGCACTAGTTTAAGGTGTCCCAAAAGGAGAGGTAGAATTATGTGGAGATATACAACAGTAGTGGTGCTCTACACTTTGTGGGAGGAAAAACACAAGAATCTTTGAAGGGATGGAAAGAAGAAAGGAAACTATTATTAAAAACATCATGGTGAAGGTTGCAGATTTGGTGAAACACTTTCAATTTGTTTTCAGACTTCACGATGGATATTTTTTTCCAGAAATTGGGGTGTAGTTACAGCCTTTTGTTCTAAGAAACCAAAGCTGATAAAGGAATGGAAACTATCAGAAAGGGGATGGATAAAGCTGAACTTTGATGGAAGCAGTATGGGCAATCATTGTCATTCTGGGATAGGGGGGAGTAATAAGAAATGAGAATGCTTTTTTTTTTTTTACTTTTGATGTACTCAGGCCTGATAGGAGACTGGGACTCCATCGGGGTAGAACTCAAGGCAGCAGTGGTTGGGGTGCAAAGGGCAGAGGAACTTGGGGGTTGATAAACTAATTATTGAAGGAGATTCCAAAGCGATTATAAGCTGGTTATTGAAAAGGGTTGCAGCAAAGTGGAACTACAGAAATGAAATAAGATGTTTTGAGTCTTTTGACAGGCATTCTAGAGATTTGCAATTGATACAATGAGTACAAAAATCAGCCAACAGCTTGGCTGATGGGTTAGCAAAACAAGGGATCACTAGGCACCAAATGTTTTGGGCTCCAAAAAAAACAAATGTTTTGGGCTCAGCTGTAGTAATGTATGATGTGGGGTGAGATAGTAGGGACTATGCTCACGGTTTTTTATTTGACTTGTAAACTTGCAACTTCTTGTTGCACTTGTTTTGTTCTTATTTAATGAAATTCGATTTCTGTTGCTGATTAAAAAAATCCTCCCTAAAGACCGATAGGCTTGTTTCTAATTCTGATTTTATAGTCTTGCCACATATCCATCTCAGTATCCTTATACAAATTACACTCATTTTTTGAACATGTTACTTCTTGATTACCCAATATTTCGTTGTCTGCAATGTAAATGGCTTTGGTGAAACAACCAATGAAGAGTTACTTTATTTCCAAGGGGGGTAGAGTTACTTTGATTAAAGCAACTTTAGCCAACTTGCCTTTATACTTCCTGTCAGTCTTTAGAATTCCTAAGAGAGAGGCAAAGAGGTTGGAAAAACTAATGAGGGATTTCTTATGGGAACCTGGTGAAGAGAAAAAAGATAACTTGATTAGGTGGGAGGTGGTGTGTCGGAGTAAGGAAGAAGGAGGCCTAGGATTAGGGAACGTGGTGAGCAAGAATGAGGCTCTTTTAGGTAAGTGGCTTTGGAGGTGGCCCCTGGAGAGGGAGAGGTTGTGGCATGAGGTAGTGAAAAGTATCCATGGCTGTTCTGAATCGGGTTGGGATGCGGGAGTATCCCGAAGGGCTTTGCTCACAACACCTTGGAAGGCTATCTCTGGCATTCTCCCTAAGTTCCTAAGTTTTGTAAGGTATGATGCTTGCTCTGGGAACTCCATTCTTTTTTGGGAAGATACTTAGGTGAGCTCTCAACCCCTAAAAGACTGTATCCCTTCTCTCTATACCATCTCCCTTTTTTAAAAGAAACCCATTTCTTGGTTCCTTTCCCCCCCGGTTTTCCCTTTGGCCTTAAATTGGGATCTCGGGTTTCGAAGATGGTTAAGGGATGAAGAATTCCTTTGCGTTTCAGAGCTGGTGTTGCTTCTAGATTCGATGTGTTTGGACCCCCTTAACCCGGACACAAAAGTCTGGTCCCTAACCCCGGTTGGCTCATTCACTTGTGCTTCTTTCTTTAAAGCCCTCTGCTCTAATCCCTCCTCTCAAGTCTTCCCCGTTAAAGAGGTATGGAAGACCGATTCCCCCCAAAATAGCAGTGTTTTGTTGGGAAGCCTATTATGGTAAGCTCAATACTGCGGAAAACGTGCAAAAGAAGAAACTTTTTATGTGTTTGTCCCCTAATTGGTGCCCTCTGTGTAAAGTGAAAGATGAGGACTGCAACCATTTGTTGATATCATGCTCTTTTGCTTCCAATATTTGGAACTGGGTTGTTTCATTATTTGGGTGCAGGTGGAATTTGCCCTTTGAAGTAAAGTTGCTGTTCACTCCGGTTGCTTTTGGGAGATTGACAAAAAGAGGGAAGCTAATGTGGAAACGTATCAGAGCTTCTACGTTGTGGACTGTATGGGAGGAGAGAAATGCTAGCATATTTCAAGAACATGAAAGAAGTCTCGCTGAAATCAAGGAATGCATATTGACAAGGACTATTTCATGGTTAAAATCTTCACATTTGTTGGCAGATTACTCCTTCGATGACTTAAGGAGAAATTGGGCTGCAATGGCTGCTACAGTTTCTACCAAGATCAAATCACAAGCTGAATGGATTCCCCCACCGGATGGTTTGGTAAAATTGAATTTTGATGGAAGCTGCCAAGGCAATTCAGGACCATCGGGAATTGGTGGGATTCTGAGAGACAAAAACAGCAATATGTTGTCTCTATTTTCAGGACCAGTGGGTGAAGGTGTTTCAATAAGGGAAGAGCTACTAGCAGCGGTACAAGGTATACAGATGGCTAGTTAAAGTGGTGTGGCAAATCTGCTAGTAGAAGGGGATTCCAAGGTGGTAGTAGGCTGGCTAATTAGGCCAGAAACAACTTGTTGGGGCTACAGGGATCTGTTTAAGAAAGTTAAATGGATGACAAGGAATATGACTGTCAGGTTTCAGTGGGTTAGAAGATCAGCAAATGCAATGGCTGGTTCTCTGGCCAAGCAGGAGGTGTCAAGGGGAGATCTATTTTGGGTTACTTTGTAATTGTCTCAGGCTTGGGCAGTTTTGGTGTATATGGTTCAGTCATAGGGGGTAATATCTCGTGCCTCCTCCTAGGCTGATTGTATTTTTGTTATTTGATTTAATAAAATTACTCACTTATAAAAAAAAAAAACAACAACCAATGAAGAGTTGAAGAGCAGATGAAGGCAATCATGAGAAACATAAGTAGACTTGATGAAAGCGTAGAGTTGTTGAGAGTTTGTCTGGCAGGGAAGTATGCAGGAGCAAATCCAGAAGCAGAGGATGTGCAGCTTGCTGAAGAGGAATGGGACTATGCAAATCTTATAGGTGTTAGAAAATTAAATTGAGGTCTGTTTCTATTTATGTTTCATGACATGTCAGAAGCGGGGTGGGCTTTGGAATTTGAGAATTGGCAAGAAAGGAGACTTGCATTGAGGTTGGGTTGGCGGTATCCTCTAGCAGGAGTTTTTAGAGGGCAAAGTTACCAAGGGTCATATGGTTTCG